GACGACGGGGAGGTCGTCCTCGAGTGGGATCCCTCGGACGAGGAGATGGTCACTTTCAAGGTGACCGCGAAAACCTTGGGATACGTCGGCATTGGATTCAACGAGAAAAACCACATGAAGGGGGCTGACATCCTGCTGGCCTGGGTCGACGATCACACGGGCACCGTCAATCTGCTGGTAAGTTCTCTCTTTCGACCTGGATCGAGCCCTCCAACCCCTCGATCGATTCGATTTCTCCCCCGATTTTCTTCGTCGAGACCCTCGTTTTATCGCGTCGATCCCCAATTCGTCCCCAAGGATTCGATCGTTTCTCGATTAATAGCGAGGAGGAGGAGGAGGAGGAGGAAGAGGAAATGATTGGGATGCGTGGAGAGCAATCGAGCGGATCTAGTATTAGCGGGAAAGTATGCAAGCGTCAGAGGTTAACGACGTTGGGAAGAACTCGTTTTCCTTCGTTATCGCGAAAGGATCCTAGATTTCTCGAGTCTTGCGCGATTCTATTCTCGAAACGAGTGAACGATCGGCTTCTTCTCGAATCGATTAGACAACGTTTTAGAAAACGTTTGATATTCGAAACATTATCGATCCGAGATTTAATGGACCGGCAAGGTTTTTCGCGATTCTTCTTCCCTCGGATCGACGAGACAGCTGGAGATCTATTGGCTCCTCGACGCCGTGGGTCGGAAGAAAGGAAGAAGGAGAGGCTTCAACGATGAAGAAGAAGAAGAAGAAGAAGCGAAAAAGGAGGTAAAGAAATGAAAAACCAGGGAATTAAAGGAAGATTAAGAAGGCGGCTGAAGAAGAAAGGGAGATCGAAACAGCAGTCTGAAGGACCTGCGAAGCTGAAAGAAGGATGAGAAGAAAAAGAAGAAATGGAGGAAGGTATCGCCACTCGAGATATCGGCCTCCTCTCTCTCTCTCTCTCCCAGTCAGACGACCAAATCCTTCTTTCTTCTCCCCTATCCGTATTTTCGTTTAATTAACGCGATTGATTCGGAAATGATTTTCCTCTTCCGTCGATTCGATTGGAAAACGAAGGGATTCCTAAAATTCGTAGAATTTTTCCTAGAGTTTTTCGATACCCCTTTAACGGGATAACGTTTTGAAAGAAGTAGTAGCGCATAAATTAACTTCGTATCATCAAGTTTTTCAAGAAACTTCAAAGTATCTCGAGAAGAATCTTGAAAAGAGTCGTACAAAATTTCCCCATTCTCCAGCGAATCGTGCAACGAACGAATTAAAAAAAGAATCTTGTTATCTGTTCCCTCCCCTCTTCATGGGAATTCCTAATCTTAATTAAATTTATATCCATCGTATCCGAGGTGCGCAAGCAACGCGTTGTTAAGAAAATACTTAGAGAGATTTACAATCGAATAAGTTTTCATTCCCCGACAAATATTTAATACCACTATTTAAATCTAATTCTCACGAAAACCAACGAATTTTTATCGAAATCTAAATTTTTAACATTATCGTTGCTCGAATCGACAAAAATAACTCTTTCTTTCATTTAAAATTTAACTCCACCAACATAAACTTCGTATTGGTCACGAATTAAAAAAAAAAAAAAAAAAAAACGGGACGTTGAAATTGGCAATTACTCGAAATCTAAACCGACTCGAAAAAAAAAAAAAAGAAAAAGAAACAAGTTGGGATCTTTTGGCACGATTTACTCGATACTTATCCTCTCGCGAGGACGAGAAAGGGTTGGAGAAAAGGAAGAAAACGGGCGGGACGAAGGGACCGATGAGCGCGGGCGGGAGAGGGAAGAGAAGAGGCTGGGACGGCGTTGGTAGAAAATTAACGAACATCGTTCCAGCGGTCGAGATAAAGTCGTGATAAATTTACGTTCGGCGAGGGCAGCCAGACCTTTCTCCCCTCCCCTCTCCTTCCTTCTCACGCCTTTTCCACCTTGACGAATTTCAAATCTGCTGTGACTCCTTATCAATCGCGTGACTCGACGAGTTTCGAACTCGGAGAGAAGAAGGAGGGAGGGAAGAAGAATGGGAAAAATCGAGTCGAAGAAACCCGACCCCCCCTTGAATTGACACGAGATAAGAGATCGAGCATTGCGAATTTTCCAATTTGTCGCCTGCCGGTCGTGCCAGTGACCCTGTTACGTTATTAATAATCGGCCCTCTTCTTCACGCTCCTCCCTGCAAAATCGGCCCCGGTATAAATTTGAATGCGCGAACAGCCGGCGGGGAAGATGCNGCTGCCGCGTACCAATGGAGAGAGAGAGAGAGAGAGAGAGAGAGAGAGAGAGAGAGAAAGTGTACGAACACGGATACAGAAACGCGTGTATACAAACGCGGGTTATATACAAGCCGAAAGTTAAGAGCGAGCAAAAGGTTGCGTGACCGAACGTGTGACGAGCGCACGAGGGCCGTGAGCGTGTGCGAGAGAAGGCCCCTCTCCGCCTTAGGTATGTTGGTTCCAAAGGGTCCCCAGTCAAGGCCTCCAGACATTGGTGGGAAGGGAGGGAGGGAGACTACGCGAATCTTCGAGCATCGTTGCGAAGAAAGATGAAGAGCGGTCCTGGCTCCAATGAATCGGCCGACACGTGATACTTTCCGCTCCTCGGATATTTGAACATGTGTTAAGAAACAGTCCTGGAACGATAGGAAAAAAGAGAGGAGTAGATTAAAAGGAAGAAATATATGCGTATATCTGCTGTTAGTTTTTGATTCGGGATACTGCGAGGAGAGGATTGAGAACCTCTCGGAGAAGAGGTGACAAAAGTTTGGAATGTTGATTAATAATTGAATTACGAGCAGTAATTTATTGGAGAAGAATTTGAAACGTGATCCCTCTATCTCCTTCTTCCTTCATCTTCTTCATAATCTTCGACATATCTTGTTCCTTTTTTTCTTCTTCTTTTTCACTCCCACCTTCAATCAATTCTCCTCTTGTTCTCCAATTTTTCAAAGTTTGTAAAAAACTATTAGAGAAAACGAGTTTGGAGGGGAAAAAAGTCGCATAGTTAAAAAAAAAGTTGGAAAAATATGTTTGCGACGTTAACAATTTGTCTGCTAACCCGATCGTACCGTAAATCGTACTTCCTTTGTATTTTACCACTTTATCTTGATCAAGAAACGATCTCCTCGTCCTCACAAAAGGCGGAGAGCGAAAGGGGGAGGGGAAGGCGAGATTTTAGCCGAGCATAGAGAATATTTTACGGATTAAGATTAGCGTGGTGGCCGGCGACGCGTATCCCCATTGTGCAATCGTAAACCGGAGTTCGTAGGTCATTCTCTTTTTTACCGCCGCTTTCCAAGCTTCTTTCATAGTTAATAAGCGTATTCACGATCCTCGGAAATTGACTACCAGTCCAACAACCGGGCAAGGCTTTCTCCTACAAAGAAGAATCGAACGAAACTTTAAACGGGTAAAGCTGTTATTAATGATATCGATTACAGCTTCGATGATAATTAAAAGACTACCGTCGAGGAGGTAGAAAGAGAGCAATTTATACCCTCGATTTTTTTTCTTTTCTTTTTTTTATTTACCTCGTGGCTCGAGACAAGGCATCCGGAAAAAACGTTTTGGATCGATTCGAGTGGTTGGCAAAGTGGATGCCAATATAGTTTATGAAATTAATTCCAAAAGGGCGTCTTTTCTTAAACCCTCTTTTTATCCGGAAATTATTTGATTGGTCTCGGATCAAATGGCAAATTATTGAGCCAGTTTCTTCACGAATTTCGAGATTTTTCGTTCAAACTTTTTTTTCATAAAAGAATCTAAAAAGAATAAAAATAAAAAATAAAAAAGGAGAATGAATTCGATTACAGATAGAAACACTTGATATAAACTTGATTAAAATGAACGGAATGGAACAAGGAAATTTATCTTACTTTACTGTATATATAATTTTATTTCCAAACGTGACAATCGATTTCGCCTAATCATTTCTCCAACTTTGCATTAAACATAAAGCGATTCACAGCAGTGAGCTGTAACGAGTGAGTGAGCATAATTGCCCCGTACTCGATACCAAGACACGTGAGAATTCACCTGTACAGACGACACGTTCGAAGCTGCCCATATAAATGAGAAACGAGAAAAATTGAATAGGCTGGAAAATTTAATTTTCGTAATTTTCTCTCGTAAAAATAGATCGATCTCTTCTTCCTCTTCGCAATTTTTCCAAACGAATACGTACATACACATTTGATCACAGTTGTTCGAGGAAGGGACGTAAATACGCTCGATGTAGAGGACGTTAACGAGGGCACGAGCCATTGGAGCGTACCTAATGTTTTCCCAGCGATTAGAAAAAAGACATGGACGTCAGTTACTCTGTTTATATAGAGACCGGTAGATGGTTTCTTTTCCTAAGGACGACTAAGGGGGGAGAGAGGGGGGCGAGGGGAGGCCTTTTATCCTCCTCCCTTTCGAGGGAGTTCCGCGCTACCAGCTGCCGTTTCTGCCAGGTGGTAAAAAGGAGAGAGGCATTGTGGAAAAAAAAAGGAGAGGTTAGGTTCTCTCCCAGAAGAAGAGAAAAGAAGAGAAGAGAAGAGTGAGGTGAAGTAGCGAGGAGAAGTTGCGAGGAGAAGGAGAAAAAGAGAGAGAGAGAAAGAGAGAGAGAGGTACAAGGGCCAATAGTGGTCGGGTTTCTCGACGTTGGAACGAGAGATGGGAAAAAGTTCGAGAGAGAAAAGTATAGAGGGGGCAAAAGTAAGAAAACGCGAGTGGGGAGAGAAGAAGGATGGGAAAAAGAAAGGGAAAGGAGTGTAGCCGAAACGCGGGTCTCCGAAAAAGAAGGCAGAAAGAGAAAGAGAGAGAGAGAGAGAGAAAGAGAAGGCCACTAC